AAAACACCGATAAATGGACTTTGTAATAAGATTGTAATTAGTTTACGTAACAAAAACCTTTTAATTTAACCCAACCTAAGCTGACCCAACTTAACCACCTTTAAGATAGGTTATATCTAATAGGCGTGGTCATCATGATACTTGTGTACCGAAAAATAAAATACATCCAACATAACCAGACATTCAAAACAATTTACAATGTAGAGTGAGTAAATTGAAACATAATAGTTTACTTAAAATCATGGATAAGCTCAATACCCCCGCGATAATTGGTGGAATTAGAAGGGAATATTAAATTGAGAAAGTACAAATAATGTAATAACATTTTACTAAGCGTTTGGAAACAGAATTGTTTTAAAATTGTCTGTATACTTTAGATTATGATAAATTACTTATAAGGATCGTTGTTATGAGACGATCCTGGCAAATGATTCTCCTTAAAGAGTTCATGAAGTTTTTTGGACTCAGTATTGTTTTATAAAACGAAGGGTCAATTTTGTCTTGAGCAAAGAAAAGACAACTTTTTAGCAAGTGTTCTTGAAACATAACATGAGACGTGACCATCTTATAGTAACTGAGACAAACGAAAGATTTAAAAAATCCTCTGATCCTACCACGTTCCTTTTCTCATACCACGTTTCATCGATGGCATACATGTTGAATATTTCATTTAATTTTTACATCTTTATTGTAACTGAATCTTATGACCTTCAACTAATAAATATGCATAAACACATTTCTCGTGTAGGCAATTTAAAAATACAATTTTATTTTACTACCAACTTAATCTAGTTAGTTGACTTACTATTGTTTTGTTTCAAAACTTATTTTTTAAGGTTTGAAAATAATTGCACATAAATACCGAAATTTAAAAATGTAAATTTTACAATTATAAATAGATTTTTGGTTTATTTGATTAAACTTATAGTATCTAACAGACTAGATCTTTTATCATATATTTTCAAAACTTTTAGTCTGTGGAAACATTATACTTGACAAATAATGTAACAAACTGGGCTTAACAGAGCCGTTAGTTATTCCATAAATGCCTTGTCACTTTTATCTTGTTGAAGCAAAACACTTTTGTAGTCATGTCTTTGTAAGCATTATAAGTTGTAATGATTTATTATTTATGTTCAGCATCTACAAGCATTGAAAATATTTAGCTTTGGATAGAAAAAGTTTTTAAAATATTTTAGTAGTTTTCATATATTTTCATTGTTTACAGACATGTTTTTATACGTTAAGCTGTATTTTCAATATAAAGTGTTTACTATGGTAATTTTAAAAGTACGTGAAAGCAAAATAAAATAAATTGCAATTCTGAAATATGTTTGAGCCTAACCATCAAAATACATGGCAATACATGGTAGTAATGATTTATTATTTATGTTCAGCGTTTACAAGCATTGAACATATTTAGTGGTAGATAGAAAAAGTGTTTAAAATATTTTAGTAGTTTTCATATATTTTCATTGTTTACAGACTTACATGTGTTTTGTACGTTAAGCTGTATTTTCAATAAAAAATGTTTAGGCTTACTATGGTAATTTTAAAAGCACCTGAAAGCTAAATCAAATAAATGCAACTCTTTAATATCTTTTAATCCTAACCATCTAAATACATGGTCTGGATAAGACGAGTTTTACTATTACTTAATGTATACAGTAGTTATTCCCCCCCCCCTAAGAGATCCTATTATTCGTTATATTTTGTAAGAAGATTAGTAGCAATAGTTCATAGAATCATGAGATTGCTGATAATTTTGCTATTCATTACACAGTACGTTATAACATCATGCTATATTGCATGCCTCGATATCGTCTCGTTGGATAATTACGTAGTAAAAATGTTCCAGTACGGATGTTTAACTCTTAATTACGTTTTTTTCAGCTATGCTGTTAGTTTTAGGTCATTATAGTCAGTACTACAAGGATAGATTACTAAAAGGCGTACGAAATAATAAACGGCAAACTAATGATTTTTTTTTCTTTTACTGTTAAATGTTTAAATGTTTTTTATAAAAAGATTAATTAAAATCAGCTATCGTATTTAATTGCAATTGTACTATTAAAACTATATTAGGAATAAGATGAGAACCAATTTGTTTACCTAAAATTAAAGTTCGTTTTTTCTTATTAAAATTTTTTTATATTATGTCGCCATTTAGTAATTTTAAGTACCCAATCATTATGATTCATTATAACTTATGTATAGGTAATATTTCCAATACACGAAAAATATATATTTTCGAATTATTTTTCTGTAGCATTGAAAACTCGAGTGCAAATTAATCAGCTGTATAATTTACATTATAACATCTCTCAAAAAAATATATTGTCGTAACTCTCTCCTTCTTACAAAGAGTTTAATAATAATACATTCAATTTAAAGCTTAGAATGGCTCCAAGCTATACCGAGTCAAACGTATCTTCAGACAAAGTGAATACACCGCCTTAGAGACTCATCTGTCTTGAACATCTCCCCCCTTAAGCGTGTGAATATTCTCGTATTTAAATTGGTAATACATACTTTACCTAAGTATTTAACACTTACTATACCTCTTGGTGTTGTGCTTAAGTCTTTAAGAGTACTTGGAAAATGTTCTGCCGTTTAGATTTTACCTATATATTTATGTAAAGTTATCTTTAATTTTTTTTCCAAATATTAAATACATTTGCATTTACCGTGTATATTGACTAGTATCTCATTTAGTTACATGTTCCAGGAAATTATATCAAAACATATATATTTTTTATAACAATAAAATAAAACAATTGACTCAATTAGGAACTAACAGAGTCCCTGGAACATATTTTTTTCAGCAAACACTCTAATATAGACTATATAGATAAAATCTTAATACTTCTATACTTGAAGGGCATTTATTGCAAAAGTCTTCTAATCCACTAACTGCCCGGGTCCATACTCTGCTAAGATTGCCATCGTTCTTGGCTTGCTTAGAATTCAACTACTGTACCAGGAAAATAAACCTCTCCAGGTAGTTTGTAGTATTTATTTAAAATGTTCCGTTTATTTTAGAATTTCCGGGGAAACCTATTGTATTCTAACCTAGTCTAACCTAACCTAAACTAGATGTGGTAACCTAACCCAATTTAGGTGTGGTATAATACTAAAGTACCAACAAGTTGATGAAATATTCTCATATTATTTCGTAAGGTGTCAGAAAGAAGAGAAAACGACTGCAAAGTGAAGGATGGCGGTGATACAGAAACTTCCCTAACGTAGTTACAGTTTTCACACCTGGGATCTAATGTGCCTCTAGCTACTGAGACTTTCGGAAAGAATCAAAACTGTTATCCCTTATCCGGGATATATTATGTTTCCTGCCTACATTTTTGGACTAGTTGAAAAGGCAGTTATTATAAAAGTTGCGATTTTATGATCCCTGAAATTATTTTCCGTCTTCAGAGGAAAAATGACTTTACAAATACTACAAAATTCTAGCCAAGGCTTGCAAACCACAGAATAAACACCATATAAAAACCTTCAAATATTTAAATAAAAAAGATAACGAAAAAAATTTTAACGTCTCACATATTGTATACAAATATATTGGTAAGGGTTAAATACGTAATTGTTTGAACTTTGTGACCATACATGTGTAACTTACTCGCTTAACAGGACATAAATACTATTTAGAGACAAAACAGCAGGTAGTAAGGCACTAGAGAGACCAAGATAAAGTAGCTCTTGTTGAAATTACCAAGGGTGTTGATTTAATGATCTTGTAGAAGCAACGTTTGGCTCACTTGAATGGATTACAATGTGTTTACTTGGTAAGACAAATAGTAGATGATAGTCAAGGTGTGAAATAATCATCGAGGAAGTGTTTACTTAAGCCAATGCTTAATTAAATACTTACGTTTTAAGATTAATAGTGTATATTCTGATGACTTTGTAAAGTACATGTGCTGTATTACTTTCACAATTTTCGTATACAATAACAACAATATCACAATCGTTAGTGTAAAAATAAACATGGCAGGTTCGCTAGTAATTCTGCAGTAATTGTAATGTATACTGGATACATTTCAGAGATTGATATTAAAATTGCAACTAAACATCTTCGATTGGATATACTTACTAAATGGATTGTAAGTATAACAAAACATATTGTTACCATCATCATTTAGTGCGGTTATTACTTATATTTGCATTAGTTAAAATAGTCAATATAGAAATTCACATCATTGTACCTAGAAAAACCTACGAACAATACAACTACGTACCAGATGGGATATTCTCCCTTCAAATCTGTATAAAAATGTTTACAACCCCCAAATCTCTGACTTTACCAATATTTTCAAAACACTTCTTAGCTATACCATGTAGTATCGACTCATCCTAAAAATATACATTCGTATTTTCAATTTAAAATTAAATAAAACAATTGAAAGTATAAAATCCAACAGTAAGAAAATAAAATCAATAAAAATAACGTAGGCCCTTGTATAATTTAGTTTGTATTTGGTGAAATATAAAAGTACTGAATCGTTCGAGCACAATATCATTGATACAGGTAAAAAAATGCTTAACCTAAAAAGCTTTATTTTGATTTCCAATCATGCTTCAAACGGAGGATTTAAAACTGAGTGATGCGCAGTAATTCATTAGTTCTGCGGTGGTAAAGTGTACAAGCGTGCATAGCGTCTATAAAAGCACTGGCTAGTTTTGGCAACCTACCAAATATAACAGAACTTGAAATAAAGCGACGATTGACCCCTAGGCAAAGCCTAATTAATTTTATTGATTTTTTAGGTAATGTTACAGAGTTTCAGTAATGTTAAGGGGAATATCACTAACGTTCACTCTTTATTTGTAGCTGTAGCTATGTTATTTAAACGTAGTGAGCTATATGCGATTAAAGATAAAAAAAAAACACGAACTGTACAATTGATGTCAAGGTGTATTTTATATAATGCATTGTTTTGGTATAATTTGTCTGTAGTAAATTTAAAATAAAATATTTGTTACAGGTGGAGGAATATTTTCTACGTTCACTAAAGGTGTGTACATTATTTAATCTGTTTAAGCACGTTTTAACTAGTGTGTTAATATAAATTAATTTAAGAAATAAAAAAAAATCCTATGGGTGGATTTCCTGTGATATATGATAATATCCTAAATTGTATAAATTGCATTTAATATTAGATTATTGCGAACCATTTTACCTTACATTTGCCCGTGCACATAAACTACAGTACTGTACGTAGAAAGTATCCAGCAAAGAAAGAGGTGAGCCCGTACAGTACAAGGGTGAAATGTACTGATAACAAGTAGTGGCAGGTACAAGGTCCTAAACCAACGAAATCGCTGCCTATTGACTTGAAGTCTGTGGTGCTACCAACTGAGCTAAATTAGACAAATTAAATTATGTATACTTCATAGTTTAAGATACAGTGCGGTTAACAATTCATGGTATAAAAAAAATACTTAATGCAGTTTTTACCTTAGAAACGTAATTTAAACAAATAACCATTTTATACAGCAATTCCTCAGAACAAGCACCAATTATTTAGCATTCACAAACAAAAACACCTGTGGTGTGTTATGAATAAATCGACGGCGAATCATTTTCACATGTTTGGCGCGTGATATTCCGCTATAAACGTCGGTTTTAATATTACCACTTCACAATATGTACGGTCGATGTGTTGTTGCCAGGCTGTTATTTGTGTGCAATGTTGAAAAACACTTCTCATGCAACAGGGATTTATACGTTTATGTAATGGGTGAGGAAATAAATGGTTTTAAATCCAGATCCGTTTAGACCATATTGCCTATACTATTTTATCTAATTTACAAAGGTATCGTACATATCAATAAATTGGTAAATGCATACAGAGTACAACTTAGCATTGGTAAATGTTATTGTTTACTGAATATTAACGTAGACTTACATGTTTTGTGGTATTTACCCATAGGGAAGAATGTATTACCGTAGGTATGGACCTTGACCTGGGACCGATATACTATTTTTATGTTTCTACAGGCCAAAAAACCCAATTTGTTCAAATGCGTATGTATGTACGTCCGCGACCACGATTGATTTCAATTGTATTTCACTTGAAGATGTAGTGCGGGATAAACGTGAACTTGGTTGCTAACCAGCATGTTTGTGTTTGGCGATTTTAGACGTTGGTTATCACAAAACACCAGTACAAGAATTCCGTTCAATATCAGTGGTTGGCTTTATAACAAAATTATTTAAGTAAAATTATTTGATAACAAGGTTTTAAAATAGTATCCTCGAGTTTATAATTTTTTTACACTAATAGTAACTTTTTTATTATTAAAACACAAACATAAAAATAACTCTAGGAGGAGCTCTTTTTATAAGATAAACCCTTCGAAATATATTACGTTTTGAAATTATTGAAAATGATATAGCCCAAGAAACCCCTTACACAAATAGAATAAAGTGTCCGTGTTTTCATGGTATTATCTATTTTTTTATATTGCATATGTGAGAACGGAAGAGCGACACATTCTGTCTCGGCCTTGGTGGGATTTTCTATAAAAACAAACGTTCATATCTGACGACTTCGCAGTGGGATGATTTTAAATTAAATGTATTGTTTATAATCCCATTTCATTTTCAAACGATCCAAGAAATTGGATAAAACTATATGAAAATAGCCATGTTTATTCCTGCTTGTATTTCTTATTAGTTTTATATTTACATAAACAGTGTTTGACCTTACTTTTTGGATATAAAGTGTTTATGGCTGTTATCCATGCAGTTTTATCACATATTCTTTGTGAATGACCTGATCTACAAATTATTTAAATCGAGTTGTGTTTTTATGGTAGCCAAATAAAGTAACACAAAATCTAGTAAAATACGCACTATAATTTCTCATCATGATTCTTTTATACGCATATAATTTTTCTATGTACTTTCCAATGTGGTAGGGGCATACACCTGTCATATCTATTGATCAAAATACAAACAACTGCAATACGAATGTTTAGTAAATAAAAGTACTTTACGAGGTATTTCAAATGATATATAAATGTGATTATAATGTCTCGCCGACAATAAACCGATAACTTGTTGTACTGTTCCATTATATACAAGAGAAAGTACTTATTTTCAACTAACAAGTTTTATTTATGTGATCATTGCTATAACTGTAATACTCATTAAATATCGTAAGATACATTAAAACTCCTTAAAATTATTTTTGCTTAAAGTTTCTTTTGTTTAGTTGTTATTGTTACTTCGACTATCAAACAACATTTAACTAAGTTAATCTCCCTCTGAACTCGCCTTCTGATATTAGTTTAACGTGATCACCATACAAGGCGATTTATGTTTCTTATTGAAACAAACTGCATCCAGACACCTTCTTGAGATATAAATTAGCTGCACTTGCGCTTAATAGTACATACAAATTCTACCAAACATTGTATTACCTTAATAGTATAGCATTACTGAAAGCCTAAACTAATAATTTATGGAAATTACCTACCATAGAGCCGGATGAATAGACGGCGATAAGAAATCCAAGCTATTTGTTTATATGAAATCATACAATTAGGCAAATATGTGGTGAAATTATATGATTTCAAATACATAAATTTGCATGGTGAACAGATAGACTCCTTCTATGAGAATTCTTTATTTAAAGAAATATGAGTCCTCTCTATTCGCCAGTTGTATGTAAAATCAATATTAATAAACATCTATAAAAATTACAATAACATTTTTCAAAATATTTCACATTTATATAATACAAGATATTCTTCTAGAGTTGGAATCAGCACAATTCAAGTGAATTATACTTTTTCTACGACTAATTCATACTATGTTTCACACTTAGTCTATCGTAACATATGTAACATTTTTAAGGATTTCAAATTTTTTGAATGTGACTCTTTAAAGGTATTTAAATTCCGCGTCAGTGATTTCCTATTCAGTTTAAATATTGACGAGGCCGATTCTATTATCACGGCGGACTACCGGCGCACCTGATCCGACCTTTGCACTGACTGACCTTGGCACTTTGTTAGGACTGTCCGCAGTCGAATTACTACTCTCACACCACTCATACTCAACAATCCACTCATCACTCTCCACTCTCCACTCTCCTCACTACCACCATTACTCACGGAACTCACACAAACACACACACACACACACCCACACACACACACAGTCTGTCTCTCTCTCTCTCTCCTGGCCACCACGAAATCTAATGCGCAGACTCACCAGCGCTACACGCGCTACACGCGCACGTTTGCTGTGTTCATGAAAATACGTTTACATACATCACTAATAATAACAACCCTTTTATTTTTAATTGCCATTCCACAAATTCAATAATTTACTTTTTTCTATTTGACAGCAACTTAGCAGACGCACAGGTAGCACTGCCTATGTCTGCTAGTTCCATTTGTCTATTGTTGAATATTTTGGCTCATTAAAACTTGTATGTATTTTACTATTTTTAGTGTCATAAGTCTCTGTTAAGTATATTTGATTTTATAATCACTGTTTGTAGCCAATGTTTTTTTGGAATAAACTATATATTCATTCATTCATTCATTCATTCATTCATTCTAAATACATTTTTTTAAACATGTGGGAAGAGAAATCTTTTATGTTTTCCAATTACGGGTCAAAATAGAATTTGTGTTTGATAAGGCATATTGTTTATTAACACAAAGGTAAAACAAAACTCTTTTGCATTAATAGTCTTACAATACACTAGCTCTGAAGATACACTTTTAACTGATGTTAAATGGTACTTTACATACATATTAGACAATCTATCAAAAATTACAATGCACTAATATAACAAAATATTATACAAATTGTGATAAAAAAGGATCATTGAATTTTAAAAATATATATTTCCTCACCTATCATCAATGTATAAATCCCTATTGCATGAGGACCAAGTGTTTTCCCATATTACACAGCACACAAATAACAGCCTGGAAACAACACATCGACCGTACATATTGTGAAGTGGTAATATTAAAACCGACGTTTATAGCGGAATGTCACGCGCCAAACATGTGAAAATGTTTCGCCGTCGATTTATTCACAACACACCACAGGTGTTTTTGTTTGTGAATGCTAAATATTCGGTGTTTGTACTGAGGAATTGCTACGTTAATTGGTTATTTGGGAATGACGTTTCTAAGATCATAAATCAATCAATATTATTTTTAATTGAAATGGAAATACACTATGATTTCTTGAACTTGCAATATTAATCACTTACCATTAACAATGGGAATTATATATAATTGGACTCGGTATAATTTGTTTAGTAGGTAGCACCCCTGACGGCCTAAAGTTAGCTATATCATGGGTACGATTCCTTGTACCTGTTACTAATTTTATCAGTACACTTCACCCATGTACTGTGTCGAATATGCTGTACGCATAGATCCGTTGTCTATTTCGATGTTTAAATGCATGGTCAAAAGGGATCACCATGCTCTAAAAAAAAAAAATGCATTAAGATATAATTTATATACTAAAGAAAGCCCTTCTTGCATATACATGTAACGTTAATGTGTACATAGTGTGGTAGAAAATTTTGCGTATATTTATTTATACTCTAAACTAATTCATGCACATTGTAATTCTAAGCCACCTTTGTTAACGGTATCTCATATCCTACTTTTATACAGTTATATGTTAATATAGTTTATCTACAAATATATTATGAAACACGCTTTTTACGTATTTATTGGCCTGTTTTCTGTGTTATACACATTAAACATACTTAGTTCTTAGAATACAAACTATAATTACTCATTCAAAATATAATAAATTATTTAAAACGTTATCTAATCTGAAAACGTCTGATTTTGACATATTATAAACGAATCGAAATATTGTTTTTAAAGAAATATCTAGCTACCAAATAATATTATTTAAATAATATTCAATTTTGTCGATTAATTCACTAGTACCTATTAACAAATATATATTAATTGTAAACTCCGAAATGATTCGTAGTTTGTAGTGGACGTTATAATGTATTTTTTAAACTAAACGAATACTTTAAAATTGTTAGAAATATTTACTCACTTGTCCATCCATACATACAGTTTTGTATTTTGCGAAGTAAAAAAATCATAGTTCTTCAAAGTATGTTCATAATATTGTTGTATGTTTGTTGTATGTTCATATGTGTTGTAAATAAATAAATATTAATGTCATTACGAATGATCTTAAGGCTGTTTTCTGCATCACAGACAAAATTTTCAAACATACAACCTGTAATAGTTTAATGATTAGTTTTTTTGCATGATTGGAAATATTTCCTCATTGTATTTCTATGTATAGACTGTAGCGGTGGCGTCCTTCTATAATCCAGCTACTTCGAGGTTACGAATAATAAAGGTTATAGACATGATCTGTGGATGCGATACTCCCTGATGTGGATTATTTTCCGCACTAGTGAGTACTATGACTATCCGCTGTATTATCCTGATAAATATACCAATTTGTTAATGACAAGGAAAAAATGTGGTTCTACTATAGACTATGGTCCCTTAGTTGCCATTGACATTATATGCTATCAATTAACAGTCCTGTCTAAAGAACATGTCAGCCTTAGTCAGTAACAAGATCTCACCACTCATCCTACACTCATCTCTATTCATACTTGGCTTAAAATGCCTACCTTCGATGGTTGCCATTTCTGAAAAAGTATTACAGTATTATTATTATAAACTGTTCATATTAGTTGGAAAAAATAAATTACATTTTGTAATAATCTGTTTAGCTAAAAAAAATCATATATTGTTCAGTCTATCATTTAAAGATAAGTTCATCGACAGCTGTGTATATGTAGATTTATAACACTCTCCTTTGCATACAAAGTATCCAGGAATTGTTTGATAAGAAAGCTGTGCCAGCCAGACACTATTGAAGCTGATCGATTCTCTAGTCTTGTGACCTTGAGTTCATGTAGCTATGAATATTCGTGATAAAAAAGTTGTGAAAAATTACTAAAACATCTATAATAGTATGCCTGTTTTATTTATTGAAAACAGTATAATAATTAATTGATGCATTAAAAATTAATAATTTGTTCTACGTTATCGAACAAATTATTTAAAAACATGTTAAAATTAACTTCACAAAAACCGGAGAATAAACTCTAAGATTGAATAAATTTGTTTGTTGTGTATTTGTGTTATATTACACATTATATAATAAGAATATAATTTTATTGGTTGTTAAAAATATTAATAGCAAAATATTTTAGATTACACTACACTTTGGGATCAAATTTCATTAGAAATATTAATAACAAAATGCTTGCACAATTTGACCATTTCGCTGTATGAGTTTAAATCAGTCGTCTTTCTCAAACAACCCCACTATTGTATTACGTATTATTAAAAGCATGTTTTCATAGTAAATATTACATCATATATTTTTATCAGTTATCCAAAATCTATTGCCTTTATAAAAAGTGTGATTTTAAAGGAAATCTTGGTGGTACATTATTATCGGTATATTTTATGAGATATAGCCACGCCATGTTGCATGTTAGTAAATAGGCCAATACATGTTTTCCAGTCAGAATGTTCCGTAAAGTTCTCTCTAATTGTATATTATGTATACACGGCATAATGTTATACATACGGTATTGCCAATAATTGACAACCATTTAAATCAGGATAGTTTAATTTGGTGGATCTTTCAGCGATATAGTCATTAATCAATATTTAAATTGGATTGCTGCTTATGTACCTGTCATTTTGTAACAGTCTACTTAATATGTATCCGTCTATCCATTTTAGTGTGTAGCAGTCAATTAAAATCTTTTTTTAATCCCACCAAAAAACAAATTTACGTTTGTTTCGTTAATTCCCTACAACTACTTTGTTATTACAAATCCGAAATTTGTAACAGCCTAGATTATGAAGATATCAATGGTAAAATGAAACAATTCTAAACTAATATAACAAATTAAACTTGCTGATTATGAAATAATTATGGTATTCAATAAAACTAATTTCAAAATAATTAGTGGTAGTAAATATACGGAAAGTTGCTAACAAGTCACGTCGATGTTTTAACTAAAATAAAAACTGTACGGTATGATATTGTAAACAGTTTGTTTTAGTAATAAAAATATGTATGAGTTGAAGAATGTAAAAAGGTACAGGGTAATCTTGCTTCATTTATCATTCTTTTGACGACACAAAAGCTTTTTGTAAATCAAACACTGATATTCCGTTAAATTCTTTTTTTTTTACAAAAAAATTCTTCCTTAACTTTGAAATATTTATTTTATACTTATTATTAATTAATAAAAGGTATAATACAATCATCTTAGTTATAGGTTCCTTTTAATATATTAATTTATTTTAAAACCTAAAGAGGGCTTAGAATGGAACTGGTAAAGGGATTTTAATGAGTTCCAAGTTATTTAAGCAATGCACTTCGCAAATAACGACCACATCATTTGCACTAGAGAAATTTAAAACTTTTAATAATCATCCTTATACCTAAATAAAAAAGGTTTTACATAATAAATGCGTAAATATATTGTTAGTTTAAAATATAATTTTTTTATTACGATAGAAAATGTTTAGATCAATATTTGTAGTTGTAAATTATCAATATGCTTAAAATGTACACTGAATTGATATAGTTTTGTAACAGGTTTTGATTTAAGATAATTTATGGTAATTATTATCCAATGTTTTTCCTTTGGGCCATTTTTAACATTAGTCCTTTCTTTTTGCAATAAAAAAACCCTAAATTTTTTACAAATTATTTTTGCGATGCAATGAAATTTTGTCACCAACAACATAATAGCGTAAGTATAAGTCCCATATCTTAAAATATAAAAATATTCCATGGTTGTCAAGAATTTCTCAATGACCTATTTCCCAACAAAAGGGAGGTTTTCGAAATAATCAAAACAATGCAACATGTATTTATACATTTCAGTTTTACAGCCTTTATATAAAACGGAATTTCAACATATAGCAATAAAACATAGAATCACATTTGTATTATCCGGGTGTAAAAAAAAGCAAAATCATAAATAGTGTAAAAATATCCATCAAAAGTTCACTAAAAGTTGATCCTGTTGGATGAAATGGTATATTTTTAAAAGTGTAAAAGACAAATGGGAATCACATAAAAAATTGAGTTGTCTTACACTGGGCCTAACAGAACCATTATTCAAGTAAATTAAATAGCATTGTCCTTTAATTCAGTTCACCAAGGTAGCAAATTTAGTAAAAATGTGCAATTGAATTGCTATAAATTTTATTTTTAAGCTATGTGCTTCCTTTGATCGTTTCCTGGAATTTAATTATTCTGAAACTAATACAGTGAGGGCTTTAAGGTTTAATTATTGATGATTGCTGGCTTAAATGAGCATTGGCTAAACAGCGAAGAAATATGTTATTATGTGCCTGACGACTTTGTTTTAGCCAACTCTTTTACTAGATCATCCTCATATGGTGGTTCCTCAATTTATCTTAGGAAGAACATGTCTTTTAAGTGTATTGACATTTCTGCATTCTGTCAAGAATTTATCTGTGAGGGTTCAGCAGTTAGAGTATCTGACTGGAATATAATAATTTTGTGCATATATCGTACTCCTGACTCTAGTTTTAGACTTTTCATAGACAACCTAGACAATCTTCTGCAACACGTCTTCAAGAAATTTGTAAAAAACAATGAACGGGTAGCCTTGGCTGGTGATCTCAATGTTGACTTTTTAAATCTAGAAAGTTCTGAAACGGAAGTGTTCCTGAATTTATTAAGATCTTTTAACCTCTACTGTACAAACCACAGCCCAACACGTCTTACTGCTGGCCTGGACAACATCTACACCAACCTAACACCGGACTACTACGAAGTTTCCCTGGTTGACCAAGATATCTCCGATCACACTGGAGTCTGGCTGAAACTTAACCTACATCATGACGTCCCTGCTCCCAAAGAAGACACACCAATGAGAAAGAGACGCTTAATGAACGAGGTCAGATTAGGTTATTTTAGTAATAGTTTATCAATAGTTGACTGGTCGGAAATGTATAGCCTTATTGATGTAAATGTTGCCTTTTCATTCTTTTTAAACATCATATGCTCAATTTTTAATCACCATTGTCCTTTAGTTCATGTAAAAAATAAAACAGTCAAAGGTAGTCCTTCACCGAGTCACAACTTTAAAAAATGGTTCACACCAAAGCTTGAAGCTATGCGAAACCTAACACTCATTTTGTATGACACATGGAAATGCAGTGCAACTGTAACTGACAAGAATATGTACATAAAATCTAAAAAACTTTATCACAAAAAAATTGTCAAAGCAAAGAAAATAGTAAATGATAATCTTATACAGGATGCAAAGAATAAATGTCAAATGGCCTGGAAAGTTATAAAAAGAGAATCTGGTGCAAACAAGACCAATTCTCACATTCCCATCACACCTGATATTTTAAATGATTATTTTGCTAATGTGTCAACTTCAGTTCAACCAAGTGTAGGTATAGATGTAAGTTGTGATAGCTATGTTGACTTACTTAAGAATTATGATAAACCAATCCCAGTAGATGGTTTCACCCTGCAAACTGTGAATTCTGATGTAATAGCCAGCATTCTAGCACACCTTAGCAACTCAAAAAGTGAGGATGTTTTTGGTCTGTCCAATTATTTGTTAAAATCAGTTGGTAACATCATCACCCAACCCATGACATACTTAGTAAACTTAGTTCTTACCCAAGGTATTTTTCCTGAATGTTTGAAGTTTGCTAATATCACCCCAATCTTTAAGCGAGGGGATCCAAATAAGGCTGATTGTTATAGGCCTATAGCGATTGTTCCTATAGTTGGTAAGGTAATAGAATCTTGTATAACTGCACAAATGTATCAATATTTCAACAACAACAACTTGCTCTATAACCATCAATATGGTTTTCGTCCAAAATGTAATACAGTTCAAGCGATGGAAGTTATTGTCAACTTCATCATTAAAGGTTTTGAAAACAAGAATATCATTGCCTCAAATTTGATTGATCTTTCAAAGGCTTTTGACTGCCTATCTTTTGATATTTTGTACAAAAAATTAGATTTCTATGGTGTTAGAGATAAGGAACTAAATCTTGTGAAATCTTACTTGTCTGGACGTAAACAAAAGGTCAAAGTAAATAATGTTAGCTCTAACTTCATTGATGTTAAGGCTGGTGTACCCCAAGGCTCCGTGCTCGGACCTTTCTTGTACCTGATTTTTGTTAACGATATGTATTGTAATGTCCCTATTTTGTCAGTACTTTACGCTGATGACACAACCTTGATATGCTCAGATAGTTGTTTCGAACATGCCAATTAACTACTCTCAAATGCCTTAATCTCTTCCAAAAACTGGTTTGCATCCAATAATTTAGTAATAAATGAGCAAAAAACAGATTTAATTTATTTCTCTCTTAGAGAAATTCCGACAACCTGTAATGCAAGAAGTGATGTCAAACTTCTGGGTTTCACTTTAGACAACCACCTCACTTGGAAACCTCATGTCCGTAATCTGTGTAAAAAACTATCAAGAATTGTGTACCTAATAAGAAGGCTTAAGCAATCAGTAAGCTCTGATACACTGCTAGTTGTCTACTATGGACTCTTTCATGCTACTTTCAGCTATGGTATTCGACTGTGGGGTCATTCATGCCATGCAAAAAAGGTTTTCCGATGGCAAAAGAAGGCGGTAAGACTACTTGACAACTTAAGAGATCGTCAATCATGTAAAACTAGCTTTCAGAAGTTAAAAATCTTGACCATGCCATCTGTGTATATTTTAAACACCTTAGTATATGTCAAACAAAATATCAACTCATTTGCTCCTCAAAATGCTCATCATGATCACCTCACTAGATTTAGACATAACCTTGTTACTCCATATGTAAGGCTTGCAAAAACCCGGCATTGTCATGTTTACCATCAACTCGCTCTTTATAATAAACTCCCAATAGCTATTAGAAATTTGCCACTCAATAGATTTAAGAAAACTGTAACTCTATTTCTAAAGGACCAATCCTACTACTCTGTTGCAGACTACATGGACGATCGCCTCACATCATGACCTGTTTATCTGATGTAAACTCTTTATCTTTATCTTTGTCTGCTCTTATCTTGTTTTTAAGCTATGTGTCTCAACTCTATGTATTTTACCATATAAAATTCTTGACTTGTCCTATTGCATTATCTGTTTGCTTAAAGGAATAAATATATATTGTCTATTGTCTATTGTCAAACTATATGAACACTTTGAAAGTGGCTACATTAATATGATTCATATCTCATTACGCACATTTTAGTAGTTGAAAATTGTAAAAGATGTGTTTTTGATATTTAAATAGCAGGCTATTTCCCTAATTTTTATTTGTGTTTAATCACTTTAGTAAAAATCTTAACTTACTTTTGTTTTTAAAAAAAATATTATTTAAAAACAATTAGGTGGATGTAATAGGGGATCAGGTTTTTACACACACACAACTGATAAGAAATAGCCCTTGTAATCCTCCTAAGTGGAATATTTATTTTGATATTTATAAAAATGATTTTTTGAAATACAAGTATAACATCTAAATGATAAATGAAAGGATTGTCATAACTTTAAATGTTAATACATAAACGATTAAGTTGAAATAAAGGCATAACCTCAATGCAAAAGCATTGTGTCCTGGAAACTCTACAGTATCAAACTTCATCATTCTTTACTTTAAAAGAGTGGCTTGACATTATCAAGTGCACTTTAATACTTCCACTTCACTGGAAAAATGGCACGATGGGGTGATTACCATTGTTCACTTTACATCAACTGAAATATTAATAAATAACTTCTTGATCGGAATTGTACGTATTATTAGAATACTTGAAAGTTAAACAAATACGTCAACCAAAACTTGAAATAGTACATTTACACTTATACTGTTGACTCACAAGGTGGTAAATAGATACAGAGTATGTTAAGTGGTGATCGATTTCGATTGGACACTACAATCGTCATCAGATCCAATAGGCGAGTTACAAAAATCTCAATGGCGTCACTATTACTCGCCTATTGGGTATAATGAAGATTGAAGTGTCCAATCAAAATCGATCACCACTTATCATCTGTTATATGCATTTCCTGTATTGTGAAAACGGGTTGAAATGTACATATATTATTACAATTGTTATTTGACGTATTTTTGTACTTTCAGGAAATGTAAATGTACTTTACCTGTTCCAATGGAAATCCTAGAAACAAATCCAAGTTATTATATTTTTCATCTTTTCATTTTAATCTTTGCATGTATCACTGATGTATCTGTACAACATTTATCAGCATGTAATAAGCATCTTGTCGCATGTATCACAATGTAAAACGATTGTAAAATGGTGTTTGACTTAAAAATAAATAAATTATATGATGTTAGTTGTGTAAACCAAAACCAATGGTCTCTTAAGGACCTAAAATTTCCTTTGTCGTCGTAATAGAGCAAATACATTTTTTCTTATCAATTCAGTGAGTCCGAACGATAAGAACGACGCCTTACAGGCTTGATGTATGGGCGGAAGGAAGGAAATGTATCATTTGGACGAGAATGCATCTCTTTTGAATGTGGAAACTCAAGGTTATAAATTATAGTCATATTTCCCTAATAGACTAGAACGTTTAAGTTTATTTTACGTCAAAAATAAAAATGTCATTGGAAGTATATTTAAAATAATGATTGCCAAATATAATTACTATTCAAAGCAACAAGCATATAGTGTACTATCACCTCTTTGAAACCAAGTAATCAAGTAATCAAGTATTTTATTGGTCGTTAAATAATAATTGATTACAATAGACCTCGTCAGAGACACACATATAAAACAATAGCGATACATTATCACAGTCACATTTTTGCATACAAAACAGAAAGGGTATCATATCACAGACGCTACAATAAATAAATAGCTGTACAGTTAAATAGATAGAAAAAAACATGCATAGAGTTATAAGATTAATACTGAATAAATATAATGACAGTCAAAATAAATATAATGACTAGAATATCATGTTGGCACTTTCTACAAAAAACTCATTCAAGTCATAACAGGGATGGTCCATAAGCCATTCTAACAACTTGTGTTTGATTTGTTTGCTTGATAGGCCTAGCCAGGTGTTAGGAAGGGCGTTTACAATTTTAATAGATACACTGCAGAAACTCCTCTGAACAGTTGCTAATCTAGTATAGAGCCTATCAAGTGCCATCCTGCCTCTTGTCTGATGAGTATGAAAAACACCTCTTTGTGCAAACAGATTTGGGTTGCTCGTTACAAACATTACACATTCAAGTATGTACAGATTTACAACAGTAAGGATTTGTTTTAACCTAAAAAGAGGTTTACAATGTGCGTGCCGCCTAGAGTTAGTTAAAAGCCTAATTGCATCCTTCTTCTGAATCTTTAATACACTATTAATATGAGTTGAATTTCCCCACAGCAATATTCCATACAGCAAATGGCTTTGAAAAAATGCAAAATAGGCACATCTTACATACTGCGGTGGTACAAAATCTCTTAGCCTCCTAATCAGAAACAATACTTTGGACAACTTACGACTGACACTTTTTATGTGATTCTCCCAAGTTAAACCACAACCTAGATCTATTCCTAAAAGGTTGACACTTACAGACATTGGTTTCTCATTGTCGGGAATTGCACCTAGCCTAAAAACAATTGACTGTGTTTTGTCTGAGTTCATGTTAAACCCATTTACATTAAACCAGTGCTTTGCGTCATTCAAAACTAATGAAGATAATTGAGTGAGTTCCTTTATATTACAATGACTAGTTATGAAAGTTGAATCATGAGCATACATCAGGGGTCTACAGCTCAAGTTATCGTCCAGATCATTTATCATTATTAGGAAGAGCACAGGTCCCAGGACCGAGCCCTGAGGAACTCCTGAGGTGACATTCCTCACAGAGGACTTCATCCCTCCAATCTCATGATATTATTGCTTATTTTATGACCCAGTATGTCTCGCATGAAAGTGCTTTCAAATTTAAACGATTATATTATTTTAACTGCACACATATAAAAATGAATTTATTGCACAACAATCGTTGTCTTGATTTATAACAATTTAGTCCATATTGTTTTAGTTTTTAAACATATACAAGTAATTGATGAATTAAAAATACGTGAATAAAGTTTCAAGATGATTTCTATCTTGCCAACGAGATAGCGGAAATAATATTCAACTGTTATCAACGTTGTGATTTATCTTTATGTTTCCAATTTTGCCTGGACTGCGACTCGTCACGAAACATTGTAATAGTGCAATGTTTCCAAATGTATTTCATATATGTGTTAATTAAATCACCTATACAAGAATTGTAAATTTTTGTATTGGATAAATTACTACGCAAATGGTTCAAGTTCAGAAGGAATAATTTTTTCTTTGCGTTCCCAGATAGATATTACGAATATTTGAAACTTGTAATATTTAAGTATTGTATATTTTATACAGGTATAACGCAATTCATAATGGTTTATTTTTACCAATGTTATTTATATTAGACATACATTTTATTATGTACTTAATGTTCTTTACTGAAACTCATATAATAATGGTATCTTAATAAAGAATAAACATTGTATTTTTGGGAGTATGATGTTAGTACCTGATTTATTTACTGAACTATTAAATATTTGTTCCAGGTATGCTCAAAGTTATATGAGGACTCGTAAGTTAACCTATTTCCCTTACTAATGTTTATTATTAAAAACCTATTATATAAGTCCTTTTCTACAAAGTAGTAAACTCAAAATATAGCAAATATCAGTTTAGTTGTCTTGATGTTATAGAAAAAAAAAATACTACTAACTCGCAAATTACCTGGTCCGTTGTTACACTTAAGAAACATTTTAATATGTATAAAAATAGTAATAATTTGTATTCAAATTAGCTTAAAATCCCTGATAAAAGAAGAGCAGGCTTACATGTTGTCACACAAATTTCCTTTCGTTTGCAATAATTACACATACAAGAATCATTCTTATAACAAATTACAAATTGTACGGTTAATAATCTGAACGGATTATGTTTTGTATACAAAATGCAAGACTTATATCATAAGAAATACAGAAATATATCAAAGAAAAGCTTAGTTTTATCTCAAGAGAAGATCGTGCTAGAGACAAACGTTTAGCAAGTGTTGTTGAAACGGTGCTCGAGACGTGACCAACGTACAGTAACTGAGACAAATAGTAGAGATAAACAATTCTGCTATCTTTTAGTGATACGTGATACCTACTGTATTTCAAGGTAAAAGTTATAGATAATTTTATCAGTACTATCCCGTTTTGTTCAGATGAGTGTCCTGGTATTATCAACTAAAACTACCATTACGGCATGCTCATTACAGTATTATATTTATATTTGTTAACGACGCCAACGTATCAGGTATGGTTTAAATGGCATAATGGGTGTTTTTTGTATAGTAAGGTAACCAAATAGACTTTTCTAAAACTAAAATAAAAGTAAATAATTAATTTTGTTGCTGTATTTTTTATTTTGTTATTTTTATTTTTTATTTTTTTTGAGGGGGCGGGGATCAATTTATATAGTACATAGCATATTTTACTTAACCGTATACTATTCGTTGATAATAAAATTGTCTTATTCCGCTTTAAATTGTAAAAGTCATATTTTACTCTGACATGAATTATCTGCCATGAGTGTTGCTAATAACAACGAATACAAATTATTCTGTTTATCCTCTCCCAACTCGTCGCATAACGTTTTATAAGAGGGAATTCCGTCATATAGTGAAAAAATGTATACACTTCTGCCTGGACAGACAAAATTCACACTGGCCGAAAAGTGGTCAAGTTTTGGTTTTTAATTTCCATTAATTTGGTCAAGATGAAACTTAAAAGGTTGGGTTTGCGGCGATGTATTCTTCTATGAAAGGACTTTAAATATACTACTCAACCTATTTTTTTATGATTTCTTTCCGACGTCTTGTTGACTATCACCAGAAAAAATCCATTTATATTTACCTACAAAAATATTAATAAGTATTTAGGGTATGGGATTTATGTGCAAAACCTCTTTTAAAACCTTAAGACTTAACTCAAGTGAAAAGCTTTGAGTTATTAGATTATTCTATTAGTTGTTATTGTCTTTC